ACCCTAGTACAGTGGCTAGCTGTGGATTTTGGATGTAGCAGTCCAAAATCAAATATTATTATTATTATTATTATTATTATTATTATTATTATTATTATTTTCTTGCTGTGGCAGACAGGTCCTGACAATTATTATTATTATTATTATTATTATTATTATTATTATGGGGGACATGAGAGAAGCCTCCTCGCAGGATTGCAAGACATCCGGGCGTCCCCTGGGCAACGTCTTCGTAGACGGCAGATTCTCTCGCCACAGAAGCGACCAGCATGCAAGCAAGCAAGCAAAACAACCAACGGTCCTTTTCAGGACCAACCATGACAATAATCTCAATCAATATCGAAGGCATGTCAGCTGCCAAAGAGCAACTGCTCTATGAACTGTGCCGAGATAAGAAATGCGATGTGCTGTGTGTCCAAGAAACACACAGGGATGAACAACAAAAACGACCCAAAGTTTAGTGAGCAGACTCTTCAGGCAGCGCAGAGCATTGTGTCCTCCATCTCTGAAGCCAAGAAAGAACAGTGGATCAAGTTGATCACAGAGGTCGACATGGGCAGGAGCAGCCAGAAGGCGTGGAGGCTGCTGAGACGGCTGAGCAACGATCCCTCACAAACTAATACCCATGCCAACATAAAGGCAGATCAGATAGCACACCAACTCTTGAAGAATGGGAAACCCAACCTTGCCACCAAAGTAGGAAAGAAACCAATAGCCAGACAACCAGAGATTGAGAACAACAACCTCCATGAACCTTTTACATCTACTGAATTGGACATGGCTCTCAACAAATGTAAGAATGGCAAAGCAGCTGGCTTGGATGATCTACGGATGGAACAAATCAAGAACTTTGGTCCAAAAGCAAGGCGCTGGCTGCTGGAGCTGATGAACAACTGCACGGCATCCTGTCAGATCCCCAAAATCTGGAGGAAAGCAAGAGTCATCGCCATCTTGAAGCCAGGCAAAGACCGTAATGACCCAAAAAGCTACAGACCAATCTCCCTGTTGTGCCACCTCTACAAAGTTCTGGAGAGACTTATTTTGCATAGAATTATGGAAAATATAGACCCCTGTCTGATCCCACAGCAAGCTGGCTTCAGAAAAGGCAAAAGCTGCACATCGCAAGTGCTGAACCTGACTCAGCACATAGAAGATGGCTTTGAAAGGCAGCAGATCACAGGAGCTGTCTTCATAGACCTGTCAGCAGCCTATGATACTGTGAACCACCGCCTCCTCCTGAGAAAAATGTATAATATCACAAAGGACTACCACCTCACCCGCCTCATAGGAAACCTGCTACCAAACAGGAGCTTTTTTGTTGAGTTCCAGGGCCAGAGAAGCAGATGGCGGAAACAGAAGAACGGCCTGCCTCAGGGGAGCGTGCTTGCTCCATCCATGTTCAACATCTACACAAATGACCAGCCACTGCCAGAAGGGACAGAGAGTTTCATCTATGCTGATGATCGTGCCATTCCTGCTCAAGCAGGGAGCTTTGAGATGGTAGAACAGAAGCTCTCCGAAGCTCTAGGTGCTCTTACTGCCTATTACAGGGAAAACCAGCTGATCCCTAATCCATCTAAAACACAGACATGCGCCTTTCACCTTAAGAACAGACAAGCATCCCGAGCTCTGAGGATTACCTGGGAAGGAATCCCACTGGAGCATTGCAGCGCACCCAAATACCTGGGAGTCACTTTGGACCATGCTCTTACCTACAAGAAGCACTGCCTGAACATCAAGCAAAAAGTGGGTGCTAGAAACAATATCATACGAAAGCTGACTGGCACAACCTGGGGATCACAACCAGACACAGTGAAGACATCTGCCCTTGCGCTATGCTACTCTGCTGCTGAGTATGTATGCCCAGTGTGGAACACATCTCACCATGCTAAAACAGTGGATGTGGCTCTTAATGAGACATGCCGCATTATCACAGGGTGTCTGTGCCCTACACCACTGGAGAAATTACACTGTTTAGCCGGTATTGCACCACCTGACATCCGCCGGGAAGAAGCAGCCAATAGTGAAAGGACCAAGGCAGTGACATCTGCAGCTCATCCCCTATTTGGGTATCAGCCAGCACGTCAACAACTTAAATCTAGAAATAGTTTTCTAGATCTACAGAGACACTCGCTGGAACACCTCAGCAAGCGAGAGTCCAAAAGTGGCAGCCTCAAACCCAGAACCAAATGGCTGATACCAAATGAGAGACTCCCCTGGGCACACAGAAGACTGGGCGACTTGGAAGGCGCTGAACAGACTGCGCTCTGGCACCACGAGAGGCAGAGCCAATCTTAAGAAATGGGGCTACAGGGTGGAATCCTCGGCATGCGAGTGCGGAGAAGAACAAACCACTGACCACCTGCTGCAATGCACCCTGAGCCCTGCCACATGCACGATGGAGGACCTTCTTGCGGCAACCCCAGAGGCACTCCAAGTGGCCAGATACTGGTCAAAGGACATTTAACCAAATACCAAATTTGCAAAATCTGTGTGGTTTTTTTTCTTTCTTTCTTTTTTTTCTTTTTTTCTTTTTAATCTCTGTGTTTGTTTTGCTCTGTTAGAATTGTAATACAATGGTTGCTGATGACACGATAAATAAATAAATAAAATTATTATTATTATTATTATTATTATTATTATTATTGTCAGGACCTGTCTGCCACAGCAAGAAAACTTCTTCAGAATCACGCTTAATGCCTAAATGAGTCAGTATTTTGTAAAGTCAGTCTACCTGATGGCACGATGCAGAGTGACTGCATCTGTCCAGACTCAAAACCAACAAACTTTCCTAAGAGCCCTTTGATGACCCAAGGATTATCTCTGTTTATCATTACCTGTCGAATGTCCCCGGCAAATGGCAGAGAAACCAAGATATATCTCTGGGGCAGATCCAGGGCAGAGGATGTGCCTTAAACCCCCAATTGTGTAAAAAAAAAAACCTCCCCAAATGAAAATACGAATGGATTGGTCTTCCCTTGTGGCAAACAAAGAGGGTGGCAAGGTGCAGCCTTGGCATCCAAGTGCCACCATTGCACCTATTGGAGAGGGAGGCAGTGGTTTTGTATCTCTTTCTGCATTTCCAGGCATGTGTTTGGGTCTCAGTCGCCAGTGCCATTCCAGAGGGCATGGGGCTTCAGGGTGGAGATGGCATCCAGAGGCCCCTGGTGTTCAGAGTCTGGCACAACGCCACCAAGGGCTTAACATTTTTGGGATTCCTTCTGCGGCCGTGCATCTTTTGGGTTGACTTTTTCCAGGACTCGGTGGCGCAGATTTGTTGGCCTCCATGGAAGTCATTAGCACCCACGGTTTGATGCAATTTGGCACTGCTTTGCACTCTTCTATACTATGGGAGTTGTGGTTTTACGGTGTTTATATAACCTCAGGAGTTCTGGTTCCTCGCCAAATGACATTTCCCAGGATTTGCCAGTGTCAGCCAACTCTTTCAAAAACCCGGTCCTGCCTATAAGGCCATATGTCTTTAGGACTACCTGTCTGGATTACTGTAAAGCACTCCATCTGGGACTATGCTTGGAGACTGTTTGAGAAACTTCAGCTAGTCCGAAAGGCTGCCGACGATCGCGTATAATGCCCATGTTCAAAGCACTCCACCAATCACCAGTTTGTTACTGGGCACAATTCAAAGTTCTGACCCTGACCTATAAAGAACTATATGGCATTGGGACAGATTGTTGGAAAGGCCAGATCTCCCTGTTTCAAGAAAAATGGCATTAAGGTGCCACAGAACAGGCATACATTGTTGGGACTATGCAAGCAATCATTGAGTGTGTGTTAACTGCAAAATAAGATGCATGGAGCTGATTGGTCAGGGGTGATGACTGGGGTGATGACTGAGCCTGGAACTTCTGGATACTGTTACAATTTTGTTCAGGCTCAAGCTATGCAGGCGCAGAGAGACGGAAGAGAGAAGGAGCAAGAGACAGACTGATTTGCTTCTTGGTCACTGGAGAAAGGTTCTCTCATATGGACAAAGAAATATCATTTTAAATCTCTCTGAAAGGACATTTAGTGAGTTGATGCAACTGATCATACTGTACATATGTTTTTCTGAATTAAGAAGAGTAAACTGCTTGTTCTTTATTGTTCATCGGTGTGGTATATTTTCTTTCTCTGGCAAGGCAAGGCAGTGTGTGGGCTGATCAAACGTGAACTACACATGATTTATTTTACATTACGCCACATACATCACCTCCAGGTTTTTTTTCCAGAGCAGTGTCAGAGCATAGAAAATGCAAAGATGAATAAGTAACAACCAAGGAGATGAATAAGTCAGTGCCAGACTTTGCCAAGTCCATGCCAGGCACCCAACGCTGCAACCCTACACTCGAGATACATTTACCAAGCGCCCTGTAAAAAGGATGGGCACAGTTTCTCAATAGGTGAGGCGACTTGTTTTCTGAGGGTTTGGGAAAGCGCAGGCACAGGGAAGCCAACAGCCACGTGGGTGCTCATTTGCCATCCTTGTGCCACCATTCCCTCTGAGAGCAAACCCAGACCTGCAGACAGGCTTGGGTTCCCTTTGCCCCTCCAGATGTTTTGGGACATGGAGATTCTATGACGTGGGCCATGCAGAGTCCTCTCAGACTTGCAAAGTCCACGCTTGCTATAGAACTGATGGAAGACGCAGTGCTACATGGATGCAGAGTTTGGATCCTCCCTAAGCTTCCACAATGATGATTCCTGTCCCTCAAATTCCTTTGCAAGAGAGCCAACCTCCTCATCTCGCTCCTTCTGATTGGCCAGATTCCAAGGTTATTTTCGCCTTACCTCCCACCAGCCAGGGGCCTCTTTCGGCGTTTCATTAAAGTCACCCCTGGTGGGTTTGTATTTTTTCGCAGAGGATTAGCCAACCGCCTTTCATAATCCCTCGGTGTCCAAGGACCCAAGCATTAACATTTTCCAGTGGGCCCTTTGGGGCAATTGACCTAGTTTGAGCACCGAAGGGAGAAAGATGGTTGAGTGGAGGGAAGTCAGCTTACCTGGCTTGGATTTGGAGAAGCAGCTTCCCATGGCTGGTCGAGCGGAGAGGACCTTGGGAGATCCAGACCTCCAAGGATCAGGAGGTCCACACCTTCAGCATGATGGCAGCCAAAGCAGCAGCATGTAGCCCTCCGCTAAAACGTGGGCCCCAGCGTCCACATCAATCGACACCGCCGTGGGGCCCCCAATGTGACCTAGACGCAAGAACAAATGCAATGAAAATACACTTTGGCAATAAAAATGGGGGATGGATGACGCCTGCCCTGAAAACAGTGCATGTAAAAGGGATCTAGCAATCTTAGTAGAGCACAAGGTGAGCATGAGCCAAAAGCAGCTCAAAGCCCAATGCAATTCCAGGCTGCATCAATATAATCATCATCATCCTCATCCTCATCTTTATGCCCCGCCACCATCTCCTCAAAGGGACTCGGGATTGCTAACATGAGGCCAAACCGAAGGATTACAATACACCAAGTAAAATACAACAGCAAATAATAGCAACAAAGTAAAATGCAAACAATAACAAATACACAATAAACAAATGCAAAATAAAGTGGTAGAAGAATAAACACACAGTGGGCGGGCCAAATGCACAGGATAAAATTGATAAAACCCTGGGTGAGATAAGTAAATGGAGTAATGTGTATCTGAGGGGAGGACTCCAAAGGGCGAACAATGTGGTTGACCTTCTCTAAGGGTAGGGACGAGAAAATATAGTGTCCAGATTGAGGGAAGTCCTAGTCCCACTCTCGTCTGCTTTGGTCAGACCTCACCTGGGTGAGGTGAGGCCACTGGTGAGAATACAGACACCATTCCAAATAATCCTGTGTCCAGTTCTGGGCAAAGCAATTCAAGAAGGACCAGGTCAAGATGGAAGGACCTTGTCCAACTACAACTCTCAGGATTCCATTGCAGACTCTGCAAAGAAACTACCTGAGTTCCAACATTTTTGAAACATGATTCCAGTGGCTTCAAAGCTTTCACCCGCCAACAGATGTTGGAGCGGACCCAACTTCCTTTCCATAATCTTTTGGATTTGGACCCCAAGGACCAGTAAATCTCTCAATTCCCTTCAACTTTGAGCAAAGTCCCAGTCCAACCTGCACCTGCACTTCTTATATTTGCAAGGAACAAATAGGTACAAGACCTTGAAAGGAAATGGGTAATTCTACTGCATTTCCAAATGATCTTTGACCAAGCACTAAAGGGAAAATGCCAGCCCAAACCCAATCGCTGGCCCCACAAGACCTGATCCATGGAGTCCATAGTCAGATCGGACACTAGTCCCATTCATTCCATGGAGCCTCCTTGAGCTGGGACCAGCCCTTGGGGTGAGACCACTGGTGAGAATCCAGACACCATTCCAAATATTCTCCAAACACAACTCCTTTGGAGCTGCAATCCAACAGCATCCGCAGTGGTGCATGATTCACACCAATGTCTCACATCAGTGCAAAGCAGAGGTGATTCTCTGGAATCCACCCCTCCATGTTTTCAAACCTTGAAACAATTCCGTGTTCAAAAAGTACGCATTGAGCCACCTTTCCCCAAACTACTTGGGGCCGGGAGTGTTCCAAATACTGGTTCAAACACTGGAAGAGTTGCATACAGAGACTGAGGGCCCTTCCACACAGCCCTATATCCCAGAATATCAAGGCAGAAAATCCCACTGTATCTGCTTTGAACTGGGTTATCTAAGTCCATACTCAAATAATGTAGGATTTTCTGACTTGGTATCCTGGGGTATAGGGCTGTGTGGAAGGTCCCTGAGATATCTGGGAGATGGGATCCAGCAAATTCTGGCTTTTGGGTCGACAGCCAGGGCTGTGAGGTCAACTCTTGATCGGCGTTCCTAAGCGGAAATTAATCATTAAGCGGAACTGAAATTCAGATGTCAAAGGTGCGGCCATAAAAGGCTAACTCGTTTGACGATAAGGCTGTGGTTGCGTGGCGTACAACACGCACAAGAAGATGCCACAGCTCCTGAAGTTTGAATACGGCGTTGAAAGAAAGCCAGCGAAAGGGAGAATCTGCACCGGGTTTGAGTCCAAGCTTCACTTTGGGTCTGCACGCAAATGGAGCTCTCCTGGGTGCTGAATCTCTTTGGGCTGTTGGGTTCAGCACCATGGATAGCTCTTTGAAAGCCTGGTGGGGAGTGGATTGATCACCCATTGTGATGGGTTGAACTCCGAACTAGAAATCGGCTCTCCTAGGACCCAGCCCACCAACAGGTTCAGGACTCGAAGTCAAGATTGTACCCACTTCTCAGTGCATTCCTTCCCTTCCTCTGGCATGGGAAAGATGCACACAGATGCTGTTTCTGCACTTGGAAAAGGTCAGGCATTTCTTCAGACCATGGGGGTGTTTCTAAGGCCAGCCGCAGCCCCCAAAAGCTGTGTCTCAGGGACGAGAGCAGGCCGGCTGTCCTTTGCGGCATCCAGGCATCTCCCACAAAGGCCTAGACAGCTCAGCACTTTGTCAGAAGGCACCCGAAATAGGTCATGTATTTTGGGGCTTGCAAATGGAGCCATGCCTTCCGGATGTGGGGCTGCTGGCTGCCTGGCCTCCCACATCCCGAGAACGGGAGAGGGCCCAGTGAATCCGCTCAAGTGGGGAAAGGGGCTATGTATGAATAAAGAGATAGACATAGATATATATCTCTCCCTCCGCATAAGCTTTTCACAAATTACAATCCATGCAGAAAGAAATTGGGTAGCCTTTGCGGCGCCACAAGTCCCCTTGGTCTGAGAGGGGAGCCCCACATCTCGGAAAACCCCACCAAGTCCATAGGTCGACTTAAGAGGAGAGAGAAAACATCTAGTTTTTCATGGTCTTGGTTTTCCTCTCTGCTCTTCCATATCAAGAGAAAGTGGCAAAGGAAGGAGAGGAAGGAAGGAAGGAAGGAAGGAAGGAAGGAAGGAAGGAAGGAAGGAAGGGGAAGGAGGAAGGAGAAATGGAAAAGAGAAATTCACATGGAAGCCCTGCAGGTGAGAAAGAAGATGAAGAGCGAAGGAAGAAAAAAAGGGAGGGAAGAAAAATGCAAAAGAGAAAGAAAAGAAGGAAGGAGGGGAAGCGAGGGAGGAAGGTAGGAGGGGGGGAGGAAGGAAGGAAGGAAGGAAGGAAGGAAGGAAGGAAGGAAGGTGGGAGAGACGGAGGGAGGAAGAGGGAAGAGAGGGAAGGAGAGGGAAGGAGGGGGGATGACAGAAGAAAGAAGAAGGAAGGAAAGAAAGATGAAAAAGTCCTGCAGGCAAGAAAGAAGGTGAAGAAAGAAGAAAATGAGGAAGGAAGGAAAAGAGAAAAGAAGCAGAATGGGGGGGGGGGAGGATTGACACGGAAGTCCCAAAGACAAGAAAAAAGGGAGGGAGGAAGAGAAAAGAGAAACTTGGAAACCTTGCTAGGCAACGAAGGAAAGGATGAGGAGGAAGAGAAGAGAGAAAGTGTAGGCAATTCTGGAGGTAAGAATGTGGCGAAGAAAGAAGGAAGGAGTAAGAGGAAAGAGAAGTTGACATGGAAAGCCAAGGAGAGGAGGGAAAGAAGGAGAGGAGGAAGGAGGGAGGAAGGTGAAAGGAGGAGAGAGAAGGGAAGGAGAGAAGGGAGGGAGAGAAGGAAAGAAGGAGAGAAGAGAAGGAAGGAGAGGAAGAGGAAGAAGGAGGGAGGGAGAGAGAAGAAGGAGGGAGAGAAAGAAGAAGGAAAGGGGGAGGAGGAGAGAAGGAAGGAAAAGGAGGAAGAAAAAGGAAGAGAGAAAGGAAGGAGGGGAGGAAAGGAGGAAGGAAAAGAGAAGGGAGGAGGGAAGGAGAAGGGAGGGGAGAGAAGGAAGAAGAGAAGGAGAAGAGGAAGGAGAGGGAAGGAAGGAAGGAAGGAAGGAAGGAAGGAAGGAAGGAAGGAAGGAAGGGGAGGAGGAGGAGGAGGAGGAGGACATGGTCTTGAAGGGAAAGAGATCATTACCTGGGAGAGGTCGTGTGTGTTGCGCAGTAAGCAGATCTTAGCCACGTCCCATGCACAAAACACAGAGACAAGAGTAGAAATGATCGAGGAGGGAGGAGGAAGGAAGAAGGAAGGAAGGAAGGAAGGAAGGAAGGAAGGAGGAAGGAAGGAGGGGAGGGGAGGGGGAGGGGAGGGGAGGGGGGAGGGGAGGGGGGAGGGGAGGGAGGGAGGAGAGGGAGGGAGGGAAGGAGAAAGGAAACAGTAGACCATCTCTCCCGACTTTGGGGCGACGGCGTCATCCGCTGCAGCAAACCGGGGTGGGGGGGGGGAGGGAGCTGGAAAAAGCGAACCCCCCCCCCACCCCACCCCCGCCGCCTTGCCAACCCGCATCGCATCCTTGGCCTGCTTTACCTGGGCGGGCATCGGGGCGCCGGGCTCTCAGCGGCGGCGGCGGCTTGGCATCTCCTGCACGTTGGCCTGGGCGGGAGGGAGTCCCGCCTTCTCGGTGCGGAGGGCTCCCTTCCGGTGCCTTCCTTCCCCTGCAAAGGCGAAGACTCCTGCGCCCCCCTCCCCTCCCGCCCCGCAAACTTCCCGCAAGAAACTTGGAGGCACCTGCCAGGAGCCCGCATTGCCGGCGCCGGCCCACGCGCGCCCCCTGCCGAACAGCGGAGGGAAAGCACCTTGCGCTGTTTCCCCCATAGAGATGCTGCCTGCCTGGCTCAGGCATCTCCCCCTTGCATCTCTCTGGAATATCCGCTGGGAAGTTGCAGCCAGCAACGAAAGGACCGAGGCATGGACATCTCTGGCCCATCCGCTGTTTGGATATCAGCCAGCATGCCAATGTCTTGATGATTGGATGAAACCGATTCTCTCGACCCTCGCAGCCTGGGTTTAGGCCTGGTTATGGGACAGAGAGGGCTTTGGTCGCCTTGGTGGATGAGCTTCACAGAGAGCTAGGCAGGAGGAGTGTGTCCTTGTTGGTTCTCCTGGACATCTCAGATGCCTTTGATACCATCAACCATTGTATCCTTCTGGACCAGCTCTCTGGGATGGGCCTTGGGGGCATTGTTTTGCAGTGGCTCCACTCGTTCCTGGAGCACGGGACCCAGATGGTGGTGCTGGGGGATGCCTGCTTGGACCCCTGGCCATTGGCTTGTGGAGTCCCGCAGAGCTCGATTCTGTCTCCCATGCTGTTTAACATCTACATGAAACCACAGGGGGAGGTCATCCAGAGTTTTGGAGTTTGGTGCCATCTGTATTACTTCTTTCCACTTCATTCTAAGGAAGCTGCTCAGGTCCTGAACCAGTGCCTGGGCACTGTGATGCGCTGGATGAGGGCTAACAGACTGAAACTCAGTCCTGAGAAGACAGAGGGCCTATTGGTCAGTCACGGGGCCAATCGCTGCTCGATGTGGTCCCACTCCCCCCTGAGGACATAGATCCACAGTCTGGGAGTCCTCCTGGACTCAGAACTGTTGCTTGAAGCTCTGGTGTCAGCAATGGCTAGGAGGGCGTTGGCACAATTAAAACGTGTGCATCAACTGTGCCCGTACCTCGAAAAGCCTGATCTGGCCACAGTGGTCCACACCTTAGTTACATCTCGGATGGATTACTGTAATGCACTCCACATGGAGCTGCCTATGAAGACATTTCGGAAGCTTTATAATATTATAATGTAATATAATATAAAATTAAACATATAATATTATAAAAATTATAATATTATAATGTCATGCAATATAATACTAATAATAATATGATATTATAATTATATATTTATATTACATGTAATATTACTAATAATATTACGATATAGTGGTATGGTGCAATATAGCAATGTTTAATGCTGATATTGTACTATGCTAATAATATAACATATTGTATGTAATATATACCTTGTAAGCCGCTCTGAGTCCCCTTCAAGGTGAGAAGGGCGGCATATAAATGTCGTAAATAAATAAATAAACTGCAATTAGTGCAAAGAGCAGCAGTCAAATGTCTAACAGGAGCTGACTACAGGGAGCTTACCACTCCCTTGTTAAAGCAGCTCCACTGGCTGCCTGTGTGTTTCCAGGCCCAATTCAATGTGCAGGTTAACACCTATAAAGCCCTCTACCCTTTGGGTCCAGCTCTTTGCATGACCACGTCTCCCCCTACAAACCCAGTCTGGCCTTAAGGTCCTCCAGGGAGGCCCTTCTCACGGTCCCACCACCCTCACAAGCGTGGCTCATGGGAATGAGGGAAAGGGCATTCTCGGTGGTGGCGCCCTGGTTCTGGAATACCCTTCCCAAAGAAATCAGACAGGCCCCTTCTCTAGTCACCTTCAGGAAATAATTGAAAACATGGGCATGGAAGCAGGCATTTGGAAATGACTAATTATAACTTATCATGATGGTGGTTTATATAGCTTTACAAATACCAACTGGCTTGAACTGGTTTTGCCATGGTGTACAATATGTACAATATGTTTTAAATCCAGAAAAAAAAATTACATTGTGTATTTTGCTATGATTTTTAGTTTATTATGTTTTTTATCTTGTGTGTATGTATTATTATTTTTATTTGTTTTACTTTTGCTCTGGTTTTGTACTGTGACTTATTTTCTGTAAGCCACCGAGTCCTGTTTGGAGAGGGAGTGGGATATATAAATAAAGGCTTTTATTATTATTGTATTGTCGAAGGCTTTCATGGCTGGAATCACTGGGTTGTTGTAGGTTTTTTCGAGCTATATGGCCATATTCTAGAGGCATTCTTTCCTGACGTTTCGCCTGCATCCTCAGAGGTAGTGATTATTATTATTTGAATAATAATTATTATTTATTATTATTATTTGAAACACAACAAGATGAGTCCACATCAGACAAGATCACTCTGCTGGCTGTTGTATTGAATCACACATCAGACACTTCCCAAGTGTCTAGGCCTGTGTGATGTATCGGCGAATAATACGTGCAGATCCCAGTAAGGTGGCCTTCTGCAGCTGGCAGATGGTAATTTTGTCAGCACCGATTGTGTTTAAGTGCAGGCCAAGGTCTTTAGGCACTGTGCCGATCACCACTGGGACCACCTTTACTGGCTTGTGCCAGAGTCTTTGCAGTTCGATCTTTAAATCCTCATATCGTGCCAGCTTATTGTTGTTGTTTTTATTATTATTATTATTATTATTTAATATAATAAATAATAATGTTATTATCTATATAAATAAAATGTAATGTTCGTTTGTGGGATTAACAGAACTCAAAAACTACTGGACGAATTGGCACCAAATTTGGACACAAGACACCTAACAACCCAATGTATGTCCTTCACTAAAAAAATATGGATTTTGTCATTTGGGAGTTGTAGTTGCCGGGATTTATAGTTCATCTACAACCAAAGAGCATTCTGAAGCACACCGACGATGGAATTGTACCAAACTTGGCACACAGTTCTCCCATGACCAACAGAAAATACTGGAAGGGTTTGGTGGTCAGTGTCCTTTGGTTTTGGAGTTGTAGTTCACCTACATCTAGAGATCACTCAAATAATGATGGATCTGGACCAAACTCTACACGAATACTCAATATGCCCAAATGTGAACACTGGTGGAGTTTGGGGAAAATAGAATCTTGACATTTGTGAGTTGTAGTTGCTGGGATTTATAGTTCGCCTACAATCACAGAGCATTCTGAACCCCACCAATGATAGAATTGGGCCAAACCTCCCACACAGAACCCCTATGCTGGCCACAGCAACGTGTGGCAGGGGACGGCTAGTTAATAATAAATATTATTATTAATAATAAATATTAATATTTATTATTAAATCAAGAAATTTTTTTTTAAGATCACAGGATGTCTACGCCCTACACCACTGGAGAAATTATACTGTTTAGTCAGTATTGCACCACCTGATATCTGCTAGGAACTAGCATCCTGTAATGAAAGGGCTAAGGCACTGACATCTCCAGCCCATCCTCTATTTGGACATCAGCCAACATGCCACTGCCTTAAATCGAGAAACAGCTTCCTAAGATCTACAGAGGTACTCGCAAGAACACCTCAGCAAGCAAGAGTCCAGAAGTGGCAAGCTAGAACCCGGAACCTCAATCAGTGGCTGACGTGGGATGAGAGACTCCCTCCTGGACACATAAAAGACAAGGCAATTTGAACCTCGTAGAGCGCTCTGCCATCATCATTTTAAAGATTCCAGAAGTAAATCCATGTACGAAAATGTATTTCTATAAAAGATAGCTATAAAAACGTGTTTCTACAAAATAGATATTACAATACGCATAAGAAAGATTGAAACACGAGGACATGATCTAAACCTACTATTATTCTATTGTGCTAGAGGTGCTTCTTGTCTCTGTTTATAAAACACTATTTTATTAAGGATTGTATGTATTATTTATTTATTTGAGAAATGTATATCCCGCCTTTCTCTGAGCACAGACCCAAGGCAGTTACAACATACCACAGAGTAAAAACATACAACATAAAGTTAAAGCAACCCATTAAAAGATAAATATTTGAAACAGCAAACACAATTAAAATCTTGTGAACATTAAAACAAAGATTTAAAAAAACAGAGCTTCCACTACCACTTATTTGGCTTAATTAAATTATTATTATTATTGCTTATTACTATTAAGCATTAATATTAGTAATAATAATGATAACACACATATGTAATAATAATAATAATAATAATAATAATAATATATAGCCTGCCTCTCCTCAGTTTGAGATGGGATTATTATTAATAGTATTATTTTGTATTATTAGTTATACAATTATTATTAATAAGTATATAGTAGTATACAATTATATTATTGACTATAATATAATTTAATAATAATAATAATAATAATAATAATAATAATAATAATAATAACTGTATGTGTTACCTGTCTCTCCTGACAGTTGAAGGTGGGGTTATTAATATTATTATTATTTCGTTCCATTATTAGTTATAAATTTATATACTTATTATTAATAACAAGTAAATAATAGTAGACAATATATTATTATTATTATTAATAATAATAGTATTTGTTACCTGCCTCATTCATAGTTGAAGGCAGGGTTATTATTATTAATAATAATAATAATAATAATAATAATAATAATATTAATATTTCATTCTATTGTTATTTATAAAAGTATATACTTATGATTAATAATAAGTATATAATAGTAGACAATTTATTAAATATAATCGAATGAAATAATAATAATACTGATAATAATTGTATTTGTTACCTGCCTCTTCTCATAGTTGAAGGCAGAGTTACCATTATTATTAATATCAATATTATTATTAATATCAATATTATTATTATCATTATTATTAATATCAATATTAATATTATTTAATTCTATTATTAGTTATAAAATTATATACTTATTATTAATAACAAGTAAATAATAGTAGAAAATATATTATTATTATTAATAATAATAATAATAATAATAATAATAAATTTTATTTGTTACCTGTCTCTTTTCATAGTTGAAGGCTGGGTTATTATTAATAATAATATTAATATTACTATTTCATTCTATTATTAGTTATAAAATTATATACTTATTATTAATAAGTATATAATAGTAGACAATTTATTAAATATAATAGAATGGAATAATAATACTAATAATAATTGTATTTGCTACCTGCCTCTTCTCATATTTGAAGGCGGAGTTATCATTATTATTAATATCAATATTAATATTATTTCATTCTATTATTAGTTATAAAATTATATACTTATTATTAATAGCAAGTATATAATAGTAGACAATATATTATTAAATATAATAGAATGGAATAATAATAATAATAATCATTGTGTTTGTTACCCACCTCTTTTAATGGCCCCATCTACACTGCCATATATTGCAGTTTCAAAGCAAGACAGATTGCAGTCCACAGCTGTTGTCCCCCAGTGGACCCTGGGAGTTGTAGTTTCCCGGGCCTACCTGTAGAAAACTACTTTCCCCAGCAGCCTCCGCGCTAACGGCCTCCGCGCCTGCGCAATAGAGCGATCAAGTTGCCCGGGATCGGGAGAAGTGAGTATTGGGGAAAGGGATCGGTGGGTTTGATCCGGAGACAAGACAGATGCTGAGCCGAGGATAGGGTCTCCCTTTTTTCCTACGTTGTGGGATAGGTCCAGTTTGGCAAGCGATGGGCTCCTGGGAAATGTAGTTTCCCAAGGTCTTGAGCTTCCTCAGCCCAGGAGCGCGTCGCCACTGTAGAATGGCCCCACTTGAACTGCCCTGGCTCCCTGCTGTGCGATCTCGGGAGTTGTAGTTTGCTGAAGGGCTAAGAACCTTCCGAAACTACAACTCCCAGGATCCCATAGCATTGAACCACAGCAGTTAAAGCAAGGTCAAACTGCATTCATTCTGCAGTGGAAACTCACCCCAGGACTTTAAGGGCCAAATCCAATCATAATAACAATAAATTAATAATAAATACATAAAACCCTACTTTGAATAATTAGAGCATTTTCTGATCAAGAGTGCTGATGCCTCACCAAACTACAACTCTCTTGATTTCCTATCATTGAGCCAGGGCAGTTCGAGTGGGGTCAAACTGCATTCATTCCCCAGTGTAGACTCACTCCAGGACTTTAAGGGCCAAATCCAATAATAATGATGATGATTAATTATCATCATCATAACAATAATAAACAAACCCAACTTTGAATAACTAGAGCCTTTTCTGCCCAAGAAACTACAACTCACCAAACGACAACTTCCTTGATTCCAGGGCAGTTCAAGCGGGGTCAAACTACACTCACTCTGCAGTATAGAGGCACCCAAAGATTGCACCAAACGCCAACTCCCAGCTGGCCAAAGTGGTCTCAAACTGCATCAGTTCTGCACTGTAGACACTAGGGGTGTGCAAATGTTCGTTTTTAATGCGTTTTTCGGGCCAACTTTGTTAGATTCCTGCGTACGAATCAATATTATACATCACATTATATTATACATCAATATTATACATACATTTTATATATTATATATTATATTATACTAGCTGTCCCCTGCCACGCGTTGCTGTGGCCCACATGGAGGTTCTGTGTGTGAGGTTTGGCCCAATTCCATCGTTGGTGGGGTTCAGAATGCTCAGGTGATTGCAGGAGAACTATAAATCCGAGCAACTACAACCCCCAAATGTCAAGATTCTATTTTCCCCAAACTCCACCAGTGTTCACATTTGGACATACTGAGTATTCGTGTAGATTTTGGTCCAGATCCATAATTGTTTGTGTCCACAGTGATCTTTGGATGTAGGTGAACTACAACTCCAAAACCAAAGGACAGTGCCCACCAAACCCTTCCAGTATTTTCTGTTGGTCATGGGAGAACTGTGTGCCAAGTCTGGTTCAATTCCATCATTGGTGGGGTTCCGAATGCTCTTTGAATGTAGGTGAACTATAAATCCCAGCAACTACAACTCCCAAATGACAAAATCAATTTTTTTGAGTGAAGGACATACATTGGGTTGTTAGGTGTCTTGTGTCCAAATTTGGTGTCAATTTGTCCAGTGGTTTTTGAGTTCTGTGAATACCACAAACGAACATTACATTTTTATTTATATAGATTATATTATGCATCAATATTATACATAGTATATAGATATAATATTATACACAAGAATCAATATTATACATCGATATACATCGAATCAATATATTATAATATAATACTTTAATGCATTATATATATATATGTTATACATCGATATTATACATATTATATCAATATAATATTATACATACGAATTGATATTATACATCAAATCGACATACTATAATATTATAATACATTATATATATATATGTTATACATCGATATTATACATATTATATCAATATAATATTATACATGTGAATTGATATTATACATCAAATCGACATACTATAATATTATAATACATTATATATATATATGTTATACATCGATATTATACATATTATATCAATATAATATTATACATACGAATTGATATTATACATCAAATCGACATATTATAATATTATAATACATTATATATATATATATATGTTATACATCGATATTATACATATTATATCAATATAATATTATACATACGAATTGATATTATACATCAAATCGACATATTATAATATTATAATACATTATATATATATATATATGTTATACATCGATATTATACATATTATATCAATATAATATTATACATACGAATTGATATTATACATCAAATCGACATACTATAATATTATAATACATTATATATATATATGTTATACATCGATATTATACATATTATATCAATATAATATTATACATATGAATTGATATTATACATCAAATTGACATATTATAATATTATAATACATTATATATATATATATATGTTATACATCGATATTATACATATTATATCAATATAATATTATACATATGAATTGATATTATACATCAAATCAACATATTATAATATATTATAGTATATTAATATATTAATTAATTAATTAATTAATTAAAACATTTATATCCCACCCTTCTCATCCCGCAGGGGACTCAGGGCGGAGCACAACATATATATGGCAAACACTCAATGCCAGGACATAAAACCATAAATATATACAAACATTAAAATCACTTATATCCGCATTTGTATTTTATATGCAAATCGATATTATACATCAATATTATACATCGAATGGATACAGTTTGAACTGTAGAGGCAGCAATTTTATTATTATTATTATTATTATTATTATTATTATTATTATTATTATTAATTATTTGTACCCCGCCCTATCTTCCCATGGGGACTCAGGGCGGCTTCCAACATAGTAACAGGCAAACATTCAATGCCTATAAAAACAGAAAAATGTTTAAAAAATTAAACAAAAGACGATACTAAACATTGAACAATAAGTTAAAATAAATAGTTGTATTAAATAATTATCATCAAAAGCAATTTAAAAAACAGCTGAAGTAAAGTGTCATACCAGTTCCCTTTCGCCTTCTCTCAGGCTTCTCCTGTTGACGCAGCCTAGAACGGCATTGGCCTTTTCAGATGCAGCATCACACTATTGGCTCGTGTTCAGCTCGTGGTCAATTAAGACTCCTTTCACAGAATCCTAGAGTTGGAAGGGTCCTCTGAAGACCATCTAGTCCAACCCCCTTCATTCTGCCTTGATGCAGGGAAAGCACAATCAAAGCACCCGCAACAGATGATGGCCATCCAGCCTTCATTATTATTATTATTATTATTATTATTATTATTATTATTATTGACACAAAAGCACAGTATGTCACAGCAAACGAGATCTATATGCTGGATTTCGTATCACAAAATCACAAGTCGAACACTTCCCAAGCATCTAGGACTGTGTGATGTATTTTTGAATGGTGATTTTGTCGATGTTCATTGTTTCCAAATGCCGGCTGAGATCTTTTGGCACGGCACCCAGTGTGCCGATGACCACTGGGACCACCTGTACTGGTTTATGCCAGAGCCTTTGCAGTTCGATTTTGAGGTCTGAGTTTTTCCTGTTGTTTTTCCTCAATGCGACTGTCACTCGGTATGGCGACATCAATAATCCAGACTTTTTTCTTTTCCACAATCGTGATGTCTGGTGTTTTGTGTTACAAACCTTTGTCAGTCTGGATTCGAAAGTCCCACAGTATTTTTGCGTGTTCATTTTCCACGACCTTTGCGGGTTTATGATCCCACCAATTATTTACTGCGGGCAGGTGGTACTTGTGACATAAGTTCCAGCGAATCATCATCATCAAAGACACAGAGTTGTGTCTTTGTTTGTAGTCCGTCTGTGCAATTTTCTTGCAACATCTGAGGATATGATCCATGGTTTCATCAGCTTCCTTGCACAGTCTGCATTTTGGGTCATCAGCTGATTTTTCAATCCTGGCCTTCATTGCATTGGTTCTGATGGCTTGCTCCTGGGCTGCAAGAATCAGGCCTTCTGTCTCCTTCTTCAGGTTCCATTCATGAGCCATAACCAGGTCTTCTCCTTGTCAACTTTTCCTTCAATTTTGTCAAGGAACTGCCCATGCAATGCTTTGTTGTGCCAGCTGTCAGCTCTGGTTTGGAGTGCAGTTTTCTTGTACTGACTCTTTGTCTGCTGTGCTTTGAGAAGTTTCCGATTATTGACTTCAATTAAAGCAGGTTCTTGGCTTTCCTTGATATTTATTATTATTATTATTATTATTATTATTATTATTATTATTATTATTGAAGGGACCTCTAAAGACCATCTAGTCCAACCCCCTTCTGCCTTTATGCAGCAAAAGCACAATCAAACCCTAATCCTGACAGATGATGGCCATTCAGCCTTAATAATAATAATAATAATAATAATAATAATAATAATAATAATAATAAAGTTGGAAGGGACCTCTAAAGACCATCTAGACCAGTGGTTCTCAACCTGTGGGTCCCCAGGTGCCCTGGCCTATAACTCCCAGAAATCCCAGCCATTTGTATGAATGACAAAGGACTGACCTCGACTATGATTTCAAACCGTGATTTAAATAATATTTTAGTAATTTTAAAGCATTAACAAAATGTTTTAATTGCTTTTATCATTTATTACTGTTGTTGGCATTGAGTGAATGCCTGTTGTGAAGCCCCCCTGAGTCCCCCTCCAGGGGTGAGAAGGACAGGATACAAATATCTATCTATCTATCTATCTATCTATCTATCTATCTATCTATTTATCTATATAAATGCTCTGTACGTAATGAGTACCTTAACAACAAAAGAACCAATGAACCAAATCACACCACATTTGGCAACAAAATGTCTCACATCACAAGGAGTGACCATCACTAAAAAAATTATGATTTAGTTATTTGGGAGTTGTAGTTGTTGGGATTTATAGTTCACCTATAATCAAATAGCATTCTGAACTCCACCAACGATGGAATTGAACCAAACTTGGCACACAGGACTCCCCTGACCAACAGAAAATACTAGAAGGGTTATGCGGGCATTGATCTTGAGTTTGGGAGTTGTAGTTCACCTACATCTAGAGAGCACTGTGGACTCAAACAATGATGGGTCTGGCCCAAACTTGGCACGAATACTCAATATGCCCAAATATGAGCACAGATGGAGTTTGGGGAAAATAAATCTTGACATTTGGGAGTTGTAGTCACTGGGATTTATAGTTCACCTACAATCAGAGCATTCTGAACCTCACCAATGACAGAATTGGGGCAAACTTCCCACACAGAACCCCCATGACCAACAAAAAATACTTAAGGCCATCTAGTCCAACTCCCTTTACGAGGGCAAGAAAACATAATCAAAGCCCTCCTGACAAAGAGCCATCCAGTCATAGATATAGATAGATAGATATGATTCACACACAGAGAGATATAGTATCATAGATTTGAAAGGGACCCCTAACGAAGGACAATTATGTGTTGTGTGTTCCAGAGTAGGCAAACACCAACACTGACAAAGAAACCACAAGAAATACTGTTTACCCACAAGTATAAAGGAATTACATATATTAGAAACCAACACTTTCTCATTACTTTATATTCCAGATCACCAGACTGGGCCACAGCAACGTGTGGCAGGAGGGCAGCTAGTGAGAAATAAATAAATATTAGACCCATGCAGGAAAGGTGGAGGGGATTTAAGAAAGGAAACACTCCCCAATCATTTTTGTTAAGATTCTGTAGCATTCAGATGCCTCCCAAGGTCAGTTTAATTTTCAGAATAAGCACTAAGCAACTTTGGTGAAGCCAAGAGATCATGAAGTGTTTTCAAGACCAATCCTGTTTTTCTTTGGCCTGATCACCAGAAGGAAGGCACTCGGGATGGGACTGGCAAAGTGAATGCGTGAACAAAGTGAACACAGCATTCTGGGAAATGTAGTTTGGGAAGGCGAGACCCCCTGTGGCAGAGAATGCACAAGGCCCTGCCCTCAACTACATTTCCCAGAATGCAGTACTCAGCATCAGAAAGCCAGTGAGGGCCGCAGCAGCCAGTATTTATTTATTTATCGTTTCAGGATAAATATTGTAAAAATATTGTATTTATAAAAAACATAAAGTTTGCAAACTTGGCATTCTATTAAAGGTCCTTTGACCAGTAGCTAGCCACTTGGAGTGTCTCTGGTGTTGCTATAAGAAGGTCCTCCATTGTGCATGTGGCCGGGCTCAGGTTGCATTGTAATAGGTGGTCAGTGGTTTGCTCTTCTTCACACTCGCATGTCGTGGATTCTGCTTGTAGCCCCATTTCTTAAGGCTGGCCCTGCATCTCGTGGTGCCAGACCCGCCAGTCATTTAGAGTCAGTCTAATAATAATAAATAAAATTATTGAATCTGCAAAGAGGACTAAAGTAAGTTAATAATATAAATCTGCACTAAGCTGAAGTTATGTGGTTAATTCTGTGTCATAAAGATAGACAAGCATTCAAGGGGATTGCTGTTTTCACTTTTTTTGGGGGGGGGGATAAATTGTTTTTGTCTAAACTTTAAAAAATCCCCAAAAATCAGTAGATGTGTGAATTTTTCTGAAACTTCTGGGGATTGATGCCCTGCTTATCTTATGCATTGTAGATAAAATTCAAGGAGATCGCTTTTGTGGGTTTTTAAAAATGTTATTTATAAAAACTTTGAAAATTCCCCAAAAATCCATGGATATGTGAAACATTCTGAAATTGGGTGAGCTAAGAGTGGTAAATGTGTTCTACCATTGTAGCAAGTTTCACTCCAATAGCTTTTAAAAATGAGGGAGATAGGGGACCCTGAAGTTTCCCCCAATTAGAGTAATTATGTGCAATTACTGTAATGAAATAGTAATGAAATTTTGTTACTCTTGTTATAGTAACAAATTTTTCACTAACTATACTTTAGAAACGAAGCACCAGCTCCCCCCCCAGTTTTGTAATGACTTTTGAACCATTTTTTTAATGGATCGGACATCCCATTGGAGTTGGAGTCCAGGTAAGACCCCCAACTGCCACCTTCCTCCTCCTTTCCTGCCCTAGATGAGCCTTACCTTTGCCCTGAAGACCTCTGAAGCCGGCTTCTTCGGACTCCATTGGTCCCTCAGGGCCTGCTCCTCGGTGGCCCCCTCAGCACCAACCTTGGCCTTTGTGCCTGCTTGCCCGCCGGTGGACCCCCTAGAGCTCCAAAAACTGCAGGAGTTTGTGGCCAGTGCTCAGAGGCTCTTTGTCCTCACCGGCGCCGGCATCTCCACCGAGTCGGGCATCCCAGATTACCGCTCTGAAGGGGTGGGCCTCTACGCCCGGACCGACCGGCGCCCTGTCCAGCACGCCGAGTTCCTGCGCAGCGCCAAGGCCCGCCAGCGCTACTGGGCCCGCAACTTCGTGGGTTGGCCCCAGTTTTCCTCCCATCGGCCCAACAATGCCCACTTGGCCCTCCAGCGCTGGGAGCAGATGGGCAAGCTCCACTGGCTGGTGACCCAGAATGTCGATGCTCTCCATGCCAAGGCAGGCAACCGGCGCCTGACCGAGCTCCATGGCTGCACACACAGGTAGGCAATACCGACTCATCCACATGACCCAGTTAGCCCACTTTAGTCCCCCTTGAACTGGTAGCCAGAAAGGTGGGAAAGAAAGAAGGAAGAGAGATGGAAGGAAGGAATCCTAGGATCTGTCGCATTAGTGAGGTGCTCGGAACTTCCCTGTGGGGAAGTGCAAAGAAAATATTGTGGATTATCTGTCTTGATATTCTGGGTTATATTTCAGCATGGAAGGGTCCTGTAGCCCCTTAAACACAGCTGATAAAATTCCACATTTCCTGCTTTGAACTGGGTTATATGGCAGTGTGGACTCAGATAACCCAGTTCAAAGCAGATCTTGTAGGATCTTCTGCCTTGATATTCTGGATTATATGGCTGTGTGAAAGGGCCCTGAATCTTATTTAAGAGAGGAAAGTGGGATGATGACAACAACATTATGTAGCATGATTTTTTTTTCCTGGGTTATAAATGTCATTTCCTAATTGGTACTTTCATAAAAACAAGGGAAAAGTTTGTTCAATTGCAAAAACTTTGTTTTTGCAGGACATCCAGCAGCACCTTTTCCTATGATTTTTCAATCAATATCTTATCCAGTCTCAACCAATTCAACCTAGTTTGTGGCAGCCACCAAAATGACATTTCTGGAGTATAACAACTACTTTCAAAGGAAGTACCGCATAATTAGACAGGAAATCACACATTTTTCAAAATTTGTTACATAGTGTTGTTATTATTATTATTATTATTATTATTATTATAACATAATAATCATAAATTTTATTATTTTAAATTAATTTAAATTAATTTATACAGGGGGTGCATCTTAGAACAGAAGAAATTGGCAATTATATATTGTATTATTAGTAGTAGTAGTAGTATTGGTATTACTTGGTCTATTTTGATGCTCCTGATGTTTTTCCTGGTGACTTTTCGTTCCGCAGGGTCTTATGCCTTGACTGTGGCGACCCAACCTCCCGGGAGGAACTCCAGGTGCGCTTTGAGGCCTTGAACCCCACCTGGCAAGCTGAGGCCCACGGCATGGCCCCGGACGGCGACGTCTTCCTCTCAGAGGAGCAAGTGTGCACCTTCCAGGTCCCCCCTTGCAACCGATGTGGAGGACCCCTCAAGCCCGACGTGACCTTTTTTGGGGACACTGTGCGCAAGGAGACAGTGGACTTTGTGTACCAGCGCCTGGCCGAAGCAGATGCCGTCCTGGTAGCCGGTTCCTCACTGCAGGTCCGTAGGTACCACCTTCCAATGCTAACAATCCACCACAGGTTGAGTCCATTGTTGGCTGGAAACTTTCCAATTTGCCCATGTAGCTTGCTGCCCAATTTGGAGAGTGCCAAGACTTTTGGGGATGGGGACTTAGGGAGTTGGATGATGGGTTGCCCATCCCATTCAGGAAGGCCTTCAACAAAATCCCGCATGACCTTCTTTCAAGCAAACTAGTCAAATGTGCGCTAGGCAATACTACTATTAGGTGGAACTGGAATTGGTTAAGCGACCAAACTTCTCCGCAATGGTTCATCTTCTTCACCCTGGAAAGAAGTGACTAGTGGAGTGCCATGAAGAGGGTTCAGTCCTGGTCCCAGTTCTGTTCAACATCTTTATTCGTGACTTGGATGAAGGTTTAGTGAGCAGGCTGATCAAGTGTTCAGATGGGACCAAATTGGGAGGGATAGCTAATACTCCAAAGGACAGGATCAGAATTCAAAATGACCTCAACAGATTAGAAAACTAATTGGCCAAAACTAACAAAATGAATGTCCACAAGGACAAATGTAAGGTACGACACTTAGGCAGAAAAAACGAAATGCAAAGATACAGGATGGGTGGTGCCTGTCTCCACAACAGTACACATGAAAAAGGTCTTGGGAGTCTTCGTGGAGAGGAAGCTGAACATGAGCCAAGAGTGTGATGCAACATCTTAAAAAGCCAATGGGATTTTGGGCTGCATCAAAAGGAGTCTAGTGGCTAGATCCAGGGAAGCCATGATGCCTCTCTCTTCTGCTTTGGTCAGACCTCTTCACTTGGAATCACACTGTGTCCAATTCTGAGCAGCACAGTTCAAAAGAGATATTGACAAGCTGGAAGGTGTCCAGAGAAAGGCAACTAAAATGATCAAAGGTCTGGAGACCATCAGGAGCATCTTAAAGAACTGGGTATGTTTAGCCTGCAGAAGGTTGAGAGGAGACATGAGAGCCATATACAAATATGTGAAACGTTGTTATAAGGAACTAGGACTAGGAGCACTGGATTCAAAGGAGATTCCACCTGAACATGAGGAAGAACTTCCTGACCATAAGAGCTGTTCAGCAGTGGAACTCTCTGCCTCAGAGTCTGGTGGAAACTTTTAAACAGAGGCTTGATGACCATCTGTCAGGGAAACTTTGATTGTACTTTTCCTGCATGCCAGGGGGTTGGACTACATGGCCCATGTGTTCTCTTCCAACTCTATTATTCTATGATTCTATGAGACGAAAGCTCTCTCGGTGCAAGAGTTGTCTCTGGGTTTGTGTCCTGACAGGTCTACTCAGCATACAAATTTGCCCTCGCCGCCCGTGACCGGAAGCAACCCATGGCCATTGTCAACATTGGTGCAACAAGGGCTGACGGCTTTGCCACCCTGAAGCTGAGTTTGCGCTGCGGGGAGCTGCTGCCGTCCATCATCCTCGAGTAACCCAACTTTGCACACCTAGAAGCAAACTATTGAAGCAAAGCATTGCATTGGGAGTATAGAGCTTTGCCCAGGTGAGGATGGCACCAAAGTGCAGCCCATAAATCACAATCTCTACAAAGCCATAGGCTGATGTCATCCCCCAAGACTCCAAAGCAGCCCTGTGGGTCTGAAAGTCTTACCATTCTGTACAGTAGGGGCGGAAACGCAAGCCATGGAGCACAGATGGTTTGGGACCCTGTTTTCGAGACCTAAAACCCCATGATTTGGGGGAAATGACACCATCACTGCTCCGTTTGCCTCTCCCAATCACATAGTATGTGTTGAAATGTGCAACAACTGCTGCCCTAAAGTATCCCAATGTGCCATACTCTCCCTGATTACTTTGAGTTTTCTCGGTGGATCCTTTCAAAATGGCAACTTGCAGTTGCCATTTTGAGAAGGACTGTAGAAGAAAATTGACATGTTTTGGGCCTCTTTTGGAAAGTGCAGCTAGAGGGAGGCGGGTCTTGGCAGGTCACATTTGGGTTACTCCAATTAAGCATCCACTCTTTGTTTCTATCTCCAGGGCCCACCTGTTCCGAAAGCAGATTAGGTGGCAAAGCGGTCAAGAGGTGCCACCCCCAGGAACCGATTTCTCTGAGCTTCTTTGTGTTCTCCATATAAACTCCTTGAGCTCTGCTTTGGGTTCTTGCTTTTGTCATACACTTTTGGGGAACGGTGGGGGGACAGGGGTCTCTTGTCTGGTGTGGCTTGGCGCAACATCATTCAAAGACCATAGAGGGAGAAGATGCCCAAAATGCCTTCTGCCTCCTTTCATTGGGGAAAGTTTGAAGGGACGGTTGAGGAACATCACGTAGACTCAAGACCAAACAAGTGGGAGCTAGAGCAAGGAGGACAGATCTGGGACAATTGTCAAGCCAACCCAGACACCTCCCTTTTCCTATGGAAGCCTTCAGGTCACGGTCCACTTATGGTGACCGCATGCATTTCATAGGGTTTTCTTAGGCCAGGAATCTCCAGAGGTGGTTCAGCCAGTTCCTTGCTCTGAACAATGGCCTCGGGGAGCTTGGTGGCCTCCCATTCAAATCCTAACCAGGGATTACCCTGCTTAGCTTCAGAGATCTGCCACTTTCAGGGTAATGACTGGCCCAGATTGAGATGTCCATATAATAGGCAAAAGAGTAACATTTTGAGGCTCTGGGTGGAACCCAAAGTGGATGGGGCCAAAGTTACTCACAAAAACATCCCCAAGGGTTTGGGCTGCATTTCAAATGAGTGAATTCTCTTCCTCTCTGTGTCTTCACAGTCCGTAATTTACAACCAGACATAGAAATTGGAAATCCGACAGCATAGACCACCCTAACTGTTGCATTCCATGACATGAAACAGTCCTTGCATGTTAATGTTTATATGTGATTTATTTAACTGTATTGTTGGTATATTTTTTGTTTATTGCTTTCTTGTTATTGATGTGTTTTTGGGCTTGGCCTCATGTAAGCCGCTCCGAGTCCCTTGAGGAGATGGAGGGAGATGGAGGCGGAGGATAAATAAAGTATTATTATTATTATTATTATTATTATTATTATTATTATTATACTGTGACTAATTTTGGCCCCCACAATTTAAAAGAGAGATTTACTCGGAGCTGAAAGGTGTCCAGAAGAGGGCGACTAAATGGATCAAAGGTCTGGAGACCATAAATAATCCCTCTGAGGAGCGTCTTAAAGAACTGGGTCTGTTTAGCCTGCAGAAGAGAAGGCTGAGAGGAGACATGAGAGTCATGTATAAATATGTGAAAGAATGTCAGGAGGAAGCAGGATTGTTTTCTGCTGCCCTTGAGACTAGGACTCAGTGGAGTCATGGGTTCAAATTATAGGAAAAGAGATTCCACCCGAACATTAGGAAGAATTTCTTGACTAAGAAGAGCTGTTCAACAGTAGAACTTTCTGCCTTGGGGCCCTTCCACACAGCCTTATATCCCAGAATATCAAGGCAGAAAATCCCATATTATCCGAGTGTGGACTCAGATATCCCAGTTTAAAGCAGATATTGTGGGATTTTCTGCCTTCATATTCTGGGATATAGGGCTATGTGGAAGAGACCCTGGAGTCCAGTGGAATCTCCTTATTTTCTTTGGAGTCTTTTAAACAGGCTGGATAGCCATCTGTTGGGGTGATTTGATTGTGATTTTCCTTTGTGGCAAGGGGTTTGACTGGATGCCCCATGTGGTCTCTTCCCACTCTATTATTCTATGGGCCCTTCCACACAGCCCTATATCTCAGAATATCAAGGCAGAAAATCCCACAACATCGGCTTTGAACTGGGTTATCTGAGTCCACACTGAGATAATGTGGGATTTTCTGCCTTGATATTCTGAGATATAGGGCTGTGTGGAAGGGCTCCAAGATTCTATATCTTGGCATTTCAGGACTTTCCCTCATTCCTTCATAGCCTCTATTTGGAACTATTTGAACTCTTGGGTTTTGGAAACTACCCTCGGCCTCCCTTTGGGCAAAGAATTGGTTAAATCAGGGAGACTCTGGATTTTGCTCTTGGCAGGCATCAAGGGCAAATAAAGTTTAATGATTAATCCCAGAGGCAACCATGGCGGCCCGCTGGATCCTTTTCTCTCTCCTGGTGGCCCTCTGCGCTTACCATTTCTACCGTGAGAAACCCTTCACCGAAGGTATGCCAAAGTTGTGCCATCGCCTTAGATAATACAGCGAAAAAGGCAGCCGTTGTTGCGGTGTGCCTTAGCCCAGAGCTTTGCAATGGAGCCAGGATACAAACTCCGCTCTTTGGTCCCCACCTTGTGGGGAAATCTCTGCATCCGATCCTGGTGTGGCTCCTGGTCTCCCAGATAAGGAACATTAGCATGATTTGTTCCTCTTCCGCATATACAGACATGGTGCGCGGGAAACGCATCCTGGTGACGGGTTCAAGCATGGGGATCGGGGAGCAAATTGCCTATGAACTGGCACGGATGGGGGCCCACGTGATGCTGACAGCCCGAAGGGAGAAGCAACTCCAGGAGGTGATACTATTTTATTATTATTATTATTATTATTATTATTATTATTATTATTATTACCATCTCCATCCACATTGCCCCAATCTGAAACTCAGGCCAGCTTACATTTGTTGGAGGAACTAGGCATTCCTAGAGAAGTATTCTCTCTGTGGATCTCAAAGTCATCCAACACTTTAGAATATATACCTGGAGGTCTTTTGGGATATCTCCCTCTATTTGTATTCCCCATTTTTTCTAGGTGGTCCAAAAGTGTCTTGATTTGGGCGCCAGCTCTGCTCGGTTCGTTGTGGCAGACATGAGCAATATGACAGAAGCCCAAAGAGTGATCAAGGAAACCAAGGATGCAATGGGTAATGAGCCAATAAGAAGAAGAAGAAGACTTTATTTATACCCCGCCACCATCTCCCCAAGGGGACTTGAGGCAGCTTACATGAGTCCACGCCCAGCAATACAGTAAAACAATATAACACAAGAACCCAACAGGAAATAAGAAAATAAAAAACAACATAAGATACAAAACCAATATAAATAAACAGAGCAGCAATATAAAATCAGAACATTAAAACACAGAGAATTGATCACAGTGGGCAGGGCCAATTGCAAAGATTAAAATATAAAACACTGGGTGAGAGGGCAATGTAATGTATTGATGTAATGTATCAGGACAGGGGATCCGGGGGATAGGGTAGGGTTTCATTGCACAACAGGTAAAATAAAGTGCTACTGAGGATATTTTATGTAGAGTTTGGTCAGGGATTATTATACATGCAATCATTGAAGGCACACTGGAACAGCCAAGTTCTCAGGCTCCTCCTAAGGACTGCCAGGGTGGGGGCTTGCCTAATATCTCTGGGGAGCGAATTCCAGAGCCGAGGGGCCACCACAGAGAATGCCCTCTCCCTCGTCCCACAAGTTATGCTTGTGATTGTGGCGGGAGCAATAGAAGGGCCTCTCTGGAGGATTGAAGAGATCGTGTAGGTTCGTAGACGAAAATGCGGTCACGCAGGTAGGTGGATCCGAAACCGTTTAGGGCTTTGTAGGTAAGAACCTGCACCTTGAATTGGGACCGGAAAATAAACAGCAGCCAATGGAGCTCCTTAAACAGGGAAGTTGACCGCTCTCTGTAATTCGCACCAGTTAGTAGTCTGGCTGCGGCTCGTTGGACCAATTGGAATTTCCGGGCCATCTTCAAGGGCAGCCCCATGTAGAGCACATTGCAATAGTCCAATCTTGCCCCTTGCCCAATACCCAAGCTCAAACCTCTAACGTGGCAGTCATTTGATTGAAATCAATCTTTGGGCACCACTGTAAGCCAAACAGTCCACTAGAAGACTCTCTTCCAATTGCAGGTTTGCATATTAATGAGTTAATAACATTATTAATGCAGAACAAAGAAACTAGGCAAGGCTGCCGCAGTTTGCTTTTGCCAGAGTGTACTGGGAAGGGCATGATTCTCCTCTTCCTGAATATGAACAGTGGACAGAGTTTGCAGCAAAGGGGGTAAGCCGTGTTTTGTGAGAAAGGAGGAGGGAGAAACCAGGAGAATTGAAAAGCAGATGGAAAAGTGGGAAGTCAGAGGAGTAACTGAATAATGAGAAGGTAAGTTTCCTATGCCATGCTCAATGCCCCTTCTTGGCATTCCTTGTAGCCTCTGAGCATAAATCTTTCCCAGTTGTTCTGAGTCTGCTAGTCCTTTTAGACTTATGTATGTTCAGCTGCTCACAGCATAACGCTGACCAGTGTCCTTCGCAGGGCCCATCATATTTGCCAATAGATAAGTGTCATACAGCCGATAACACCAATAACTGTCAGAAAGTCCTGTTATTTGCTTCAACTCAAGTAGACCCACCAAATCAGTGGGATTTACATAAGAGAGAGCTTGCCAATTGGCAGTAGGTTGAGTCAAGAAACAGCGGAGAAACCATCCGACCCCAAATACAAGTGTATTCCATGCCTTTGGTATGCACTGAGGTTTGGTTCCAGAAGCCTCCCATAGATACCAAAATCCACAGATGCCCATTATATACCATGGCATTGTAACATGGTGCCCATTATGTAAAATGGTAAACAACGAGGCAGAGAATGTATGAAATGGCAAGGAGGCTAAGGCAAGCAATGCCAATACACTGGCACAGGGTTTGCTTTGGGGCTGTCGTCACCCTGGGTTGCCCTGAGCACCTTTTGTGCCCTTTTCTTGTATGCCAGGGGGCCTGGACCACCTGATCCTGAACCACGTGGGCAAAACCTTTCCGTTTGGCCCCTTCCAATGGGACCTGGAGCAAGTTATCGAGACCATGAGGGTCAACTTCTTCAGCTACGTCCAGCTCACACTTTCAGCCCTGGACATGTTGCAGGAGTCTCAGGGGAGCGTCATTGTCGTGTCTTCCATGGCCGGTAGGAAAAAGCACCTCCAGCTGGTTAAACAGAGGTTCAGTCCCAGTAGCTGGGAGCATAATCGGGATGGGGGGAGGCAGGCCCGTAGCCAGGATTTTGATTCGGGGGGGGCTGAGTTTGATTCAGGGGGGGCTGAGTCTGAGTGAAAGAGGGTCTACCCTAGCAAACCTTTTGTATCGTTACCCCAATACCCCCATGCATATGAGATATCTTGAGCATGGTGATCAGATCATGATATGAATAAACGTAACAGTTCAAATAATGTACCAGTAAGGCCTTTTCGCAGACCACCATCAAAATTTGGGGGGGGGGGGCTGAAGCCCCCAAAGGCCCTCCCCCCCGGCTACATGCCTGGGGGGGAGGGAAGCCCCATCACTTTTGATGGAACAGAGATGGCAAGCCAGAGAAGGTTACCTAGTGAAGTAGATATAGAATGCTGCTCTTCTGAGGCAACGTTCCACCACAGCTACGATGGTCGCTAAATACCTTATCACATTGGGATAGAATCCATTTATATCAGTATGCATCCTGTATATTTTTTAGAACTGGATGCATACTGTATTTAGACAGGATACATGCTCTCCCCATCACAACTGATTTGTTCGATGTTTACCATTTGAAAATGCTGTGTTTTGACACCTCACAAAAGGAAGGCTGGCTCCTCCCAATCCATTCTAATACCTCCCTACATCATTTTTTAGAAAAATCTAAATATTGTGCAGTGATGTAGACTGGACATTTTGAACTCCTGTTCTTATGAGATTTTAGCTGACGAAATGCATGCTGATTTTCTGATTGTATGTAAAAACAGCTCCTCGGAAACATATAAAATCATAGTAAATCAAAAAACAGGATTAGAATCCTGTATGCAAGTACTCCATTTCTGTGACATTTTGCAGACAGAGTCCAACAGATTCCTGACAGAACATCATGTGATAGGACCTGTTTGGAATCGTGTCCAGAGTATCACAATGGCATATATCCCAATGTGGTAAGGTCCTAGACCTCTGTCTATGAGTTTGGCGGATTCCTCGATTCTCAGATAAAATCCAAATCATGGATGGTCCCCAATGCCAGCTGATAACTGCTTCATGGAGGAATATAGAATCATAGAGTTTGAAGAGACCTCGTGGGCCATCCAGTCCCCTGCCAAGAAGCAGAAAAATCGCATTCAAAGCACCCCCAACAGATGGCCATCCAGCCTCTGCTTAAAAGCCTCCAAAGAAGGAGCCTCCATCACACTCCGAGGCAGAGAGTTCCACTGCTGAACAGCTCTCACAGTCAGGAAGTTCTTCCTCATGTTCAGGTGGAATCTCCTTTCCTGTAGTTTGAAGCCATTGTTCCGCATCCTAGTTTCCAAAGCAGCAGAAAACACCCTCCCCCCTATGACTTCCCCTCAAATATTTATACAAGGCTGCATCGAGGTGGGCTCTCCATCTTTGGAGGTCCTTGAGCCAAGGTTGGGCAGGCACCTCTTTTGGGTGTTTCAGCTGTGTACTTCAGCAAAGCAGGTGGTTGGACTAGACGTTCCAAAGCAACCAATTCTGTAAAACCAATGTGGCTTCCTCTCTCTCCTAGGCCGTCTCCCGTCCCCGTTCTCTGTCCCGTACGCGGCTAGTAAATTTGCATTGGAGGGTTTCTACAGCAGCTTGCGCACTGAGCTTCGGCTCCTGAAAGCCGAGCTGCCCATCACTGTGGCAGTTTTGGGGTACATCGACACAGGTAAGACCTACGCCAAAGCACCCAGCTTCCACCCACCTTGACCCCAATACCACCCAAATCTGTCCTCAACCTACCTGCGTTCTCCCCTGCAGACACGGCTGTGAATGTCCTGAAGGGCAAAACATCATTGTCACCAAGTCCAAAAATGGAATGCGCCCGGGCCATTGTGAAGGGAGGTATGTTGAGAGAACGGGAGGTTTTCTATCCTTACTGGTCCACCAAACCCATCATCTTCCTCCGGGATTGGATGCCTGAACTCGTGGAATATCTCACTGGCAGAGCCTTCCAGGTGGAGAATATTGCCCAGAAAAGGGATCCGTAGTCGTTCCAACCTCAAACTTTGCCAGAAGGGATAAAAAAAATTAATAAACTTGGCCTAAAAACACCATTACGTTTGCTGAGATGGCGCTTCCTTTCTCATTTCATGATGGCAAGTACCTTTCTCCCAAGTGCTGATCTGGAATCCCAACATTCAAAATACTCACCAATCCAAAATGACAACAACAACAGCAACAACAACAATGGGTTGCTTTCTGATGGTTCGACATTGTTCTGTGCACAATATTATTTTAAAATATTGCCTAAAAGGACCTTCAAGCTAAGTGTATAGGAAACATCAATGCATTTTGAGCTTAGATTTGGATCCCACCTCCATATGTCTAAATACAGAAGGAATCCCAAATACTTCTGGTCTCAAAGATTTTGGATAAGGGAGAGTTGGCATCAGGCTAGATCAGTGTTTCTCAACCTTCCAGTGTTTCTCAACAGTTCCTCATGTTGTGATGACCCCCAACCATAAAATTATTTTCATTACTAACTGTAATTTTGCTACTGTCATGAATCGTAATGCAAATATCAGGTATGCAGGATGTATTTTCATTCACTGGACTCAATTTGGCGCAGATATCAGATATGCCCAAATTTGAATACTGGTGGGGTTGGGAGTTGTAGTTGCTGGGATATACGAATAACCTATAATTAAAGAGCATTCTGAACTCCACCAATGATGGAATTGAACCAAACTGGGCACACAGAACTCCCATGACCAACAGAAAATACTGGAAGGGTTTGGTGGGAACTGACCTTGAGTTTGGGAGTTGTAGTTCACCTACATCCAGAGAGCACTGTGGACTCAAACAATGATGGATCTGGACCAAACGAATACTCAGTATGCCCAGATGTGAACACTGGTGGAGTCTGGGGAAAATAGACCTTGCCATTTGGGAGTTACAGTTGCTGGGGTTTATAGTTCACCTACAATCAAAGAGCATTCTGAACCCCACCAACAATAGAATTGGACCAAACTTCCTACACAGAACCCCCATGTCTTGAAGGGACTCACTGGGCAGGCCTCCATCCAGCCTCACATGCTCTCCCTCACCTGCAAATGTGCATGCACCATGCTGCCATGCACCAAGCATGCCTGCTCTCCCCTCTTCCATTTGGAGTCTCAGAAACGGTTCTCCCCTTGGCCAAGAGCCCAGCCAATCACAGCAGAGGAGGGTTTTTGGTGGGAGGGCTTTTGGTGGGAGGACAGGTGCAGAGATCTTCAACCTTCTCTGCTAAAGGGGTTCCAAAGACCATCCGAAATATATGTTTTCTGATGGTCTTTAGTGACCCCTCTGAAACTCCCTCGTGACCCCCCCCCCAGGGGTCCCGACCCCCAGGTTGAGAAATGCTGGGGTAGATAGACACGATCACTCCTGTTTTATGAGGTCAACAATGCAGCCAGGTAAAATGTAGGTTAACGCCAACAGGGAGATCAAGAAACACCTTGCGCCAATTCAGTCCACCAAATTATGATACTTTCATCCCATATGCGCTCATAACGTAGAACATTCTCTTGTGAGTACCAGGCTTGGTCAAACTACAACTCCCAGGATTGCATTACATTGTTCAAGGGGTGGGGGGTCAGATTGTCTTCATCCTGCAGCAGAGGGACAGCCAGAGAAAGACAAGACACAGAGACTAATTAGAGCATGCATTGCACTTTAATGCGCGTTGCTTCTTCCTGCACATTGGAAGGAAGTTAGGCCCCAGGTGGGTTGTTGTCAGGCCCTTTGCCATCGTTGTCATTCTCATCTTCTTTGTTGCCTTTGAATCTGGCCCGCATGGGGGTGTTGAAGGCCCCAGCGCTGCCAGAGGAACTTGGAGATGGAGAAGAGGAAGACAGGCCACTGTTGGGGAACCTGGAGATGAGGAAAGAGAAGGCAGGAATCAGCCAGAGCAGGCAAAGGCATGAGCTGTATGGCCACCACTCCTCCAGACACTCACAAGATGCGCCTACATTGTGGCATGCATGCCTTTTGGCGCCAATGAACTGCCATGGCTCAAGGCTATGGGATCCTAGGAGTTATAGTTTGACAAGATCTTGTAAAAGAGCGCTGGTGCCAAATGACAACACTTGAGATTCCATAGCCTGGAGCTGCAGCAGTTCAAGGGGTGTCAAATACCCTTTCCTCAATGTGCATACGCCCAACAATTCTCAGGACCCTCTGAAGGAAGCCAGACCTTGGAAGATTGGAGCATCTCATCCGGCTGACGACAGAGCTGTTGCCCAAGGAGGTAGGACGGAAGCCGCTGGGGTTCAGAATGAAAGGACGCAGGTCAACCATGCTGTTGGGAAGAGAGAGGGAATGGGGGTCTGGATTCAGCTGGGGTACTCGACAAGGGAGGGTTACCAATTGGGGTTATCAGCTTCACTCTGGGGCACTCCCACCCTTTAAACCAAAAGTACCCCCTCAATTCTTCCCAGTTAATCCTCTACCCTTCCCACTTCCTCATCTGTTTTTCAAATGTCCTGGTTTCCTTCTCCTTCCCCCGCTTTTCATGCCTTGCTCGGCTAACTCCAACTGCTGCCAACTGAGTGCCAAGGACCAACACTGCTAGCACTCGAGATATCTCAACAGAAGGGAAAGGAGACCATAAAGTAACCTGGCACCCTTTCCAAGTCCTGCCACCCACCTCTTTTGGTTGACAGAGGACATGCCAGCCCAGAGCTGTTTCAAGTCCATGTTGGAGTTGGCGCTTCTCTCCGTCTGATGGGGAGCGAAAAGGAAAGACTTAGAATCCATCGCAAGCAAGGACTCTCAAAAGAAACCTCCTAAGAACTCTTCCCAAGGGGTCTAAAGAAGTAACATTTTTTAAAATGTCCCTAGCTTGAGTTTGGGGCTAGGTCCTGGGGAGTCTAAGGATCGAATCCTCACTCAGAAACCTTGGTCAAGTCACACCATCATGGGGTATGCAGTTTGAAAACTTATTATTATTATTATTATTATTATTATTATTATTGCTATTATTCTTCCTATTGTACTTTGGTTATTAATATTAGTTTACTATTATTGTATTATTAATATTATTATTAATATTACTATTAGACCACTTTCCTCTCTTAAAAGAGGCTCAAAGCATCTGAAGCTCTCTGAGAATTCTACATTTTCCTTCCTTGAACTGCAAATCCCAGGATGCCATGACAGTTAAAGGAAGAATACCACTACAATTGCACAGTGTGAATGAGCTCCCAGACAGAAATCTGAACAACTAAAGGAGCTGTTCCCAGATCGAGGAAAAGTAAAAGGAAGATTTCTTCTCATTGTGACTTAGAGATGGGATAAAGCTTAACCTCACTTGCTTGCTTCTGGGAGCTTCTGGACACTGGGAGCAAAGCAGACCTGCTGGAACCAACAAAGTCTCAGACAACAAAGCCATTTTCGCTGACGTCCTTTCCATCCTCCAATGGAAACTTGAGCTGGCAAGGGGTTTAGTAAGGCTCAGAATCACGAACCTGCTTGGGAAAAACAGCCATGGTTTGGGCAACTTCTGGCATGGGTGGCAAGGTCCGTATCCGGTTCTGGCGGGGACTGAAGCCTCCCAACATGAAGGCTCTCCGAGTCCTTCTCTCAGGCGGTCTCCAGGTGGTCCTCTTGGCCGCTGCAAAGTAAGAGAGCTCACTAATAGCCCTCTGTGCCACTCCTAGGACTGGCATCAGAGCCAGCAAGCATCTGGAGGGACCATCATGGACAGCAGCCTCCGGCCAGGCTTACCGCGAGCATAGCTGTTGACCTTCTTCATCTCCCGTTTCAGTTGTTCCACTCGCTCTTCCATCTCCATCTCTTCCAAGGCGTTGACACAGTTAGAATCTCCCTGAAGCAGGGCAAAGAACTTGGCCTGGGGAGGAATTATTATTATAATTATAATGTTTCTGGAATCACACAACACCCCATTGATTCCGCCCGTGAAAGCCTTCGTCAATACATTATTATTATTATTATTATTATTATTATTATTATTATTATTATATCTCAATTGAAAGTGGAAGGGGCTGAGAGTAATGGCTGGGTTGGGAATAGCAAACAAGTATAATCCTCCCCCCCCCCCCCCCCCCCCCCCCCCCCCCCCCCGTATCCATGGAAGTTACATTTCCAAATTTCGCACAGAGAGATGGAGACCCAAAAACGAATCATTGCAAGTCCCATTGAAGTGAAAGACCATAATGCTGCACTGGAGGATCCACAAAATGCCCAGAGAGGGCGCATTTTGTCATACCTGGCTAAAGGAAACTATAGGGAATGCCAAGCCCTATTAAAACCCATGAAGACCATACAGTTGGAGAACTTGAAAAATCCCTAAAGAGGGCATCTTTGGCCCGATGTGGATTAAAGACACCTATGAATGCCCATGGGTATGTGGGATCATGCTATACTTGCACAATCCAAGATATGGATAGGAGGAAAAAACACCCTGCAAGAAGAAAACTAGCACCTTAAGGAAGGTTTTCGCCGAGGTGCTAGATTTCTCCTTGCAAGGAGAGGCTTTCCTTGGGCCTTGCCTTCAGGTAGTCAATCAAGCTGGCATTCTCGGCCTCCTCTTGTTTTCGCTTGCGCACCACGGGCTCGCAGATGCTAGGATTCTGCTCCATTTGTGCGTAAAGGTCCTGCAGGGCTTTCTGGGTGTAGTTCAAGGCCTGCCCCTCAAAATCCTGGGGGGTGATCCGCTCACAGAAGGAAATGATGAGCGGGTATTCGTTGTCAAATTCATCCAGGATCTCCATCTTGTGTCCTATGCAAAGCAGAGGGAAATCAATAAATAATTCATTTCTTTTCTTTTCATTTATTTCCCGCTGTATCTCTCCATACGGAGACTCAAAGCAGCCCACAATCAAAAGTATTACAACTTAAAATATACAAATATACAATAATAAAACAGTATATCATGATATATTATTGTGCATTATCAGGAGTAGTAGGTAAAGGTAAAGGTTTTCCCCTGACATTAAGTCCCATCGTGTCCAACTGGGGGTTGGTGCTCATCTCCATGTCTAAGCTGAAGAGCTGGCATTGTCCGTAGACACCTTCAAGGTCATGTGACTGGCATGAGTGAATGGAGCGC